CTCCCCCCCACCCTCACAGGCCGATTCTGGGACCCCCAGAACTCCAAATCCCTGTCGCTGGGCTCTCCGGGGAGCCCCATCGCCAGGATGGTGGCGGTGGCGGGGAAGCTGTGGTGTGGCTGCCAGAACCGCGTCATCGTCCTCAACCCCGCCACGCTGGCACAGGAGGTACCGCGGGCGGTGCCGGGGGGTGGCGGGGGCCGCGAGGGCACCAGCGGCGTCACGGCGCTGTCGCTGTCCCCCCGCAGCACACGCTCCAGGTGGGCCAGGACGGCGGGCGCGGCGTCACCTGCATGGTGAGCGCTGGCACTGGTGTGTGGGTGGCGCTCCAGGGCAGCGCCCAGGTCCGGCTGTACCACAGCACCAGCTACGAGCAGCTGGCGGAGGCCGACATCACCCCCCCCGTGCACAAGATGCTCGCAGGTGAGTCCCTCTGGCAGACGGGTAACCCCAGGTTGGGATGGGGCAGTGAATCCCACAGGCAGAGGATCGTGGAATTCCAGAGTGGTTTGTGTTGGAAGGGACCGTGAAGGTCATCCAGTTCCGCCCCGTTGCCATGGGTAGGGACACCTTCCATCAGAAGCCCCACTGGCGAATGGATAATCCCACGTTGAAACAGGGCAGTAATCCCATGGTCATGGAATCACAGATTTTCAGAGTGGTTTGGGTTGGAAGGTACCATGAAGCTCATCCAGTTCCACCCCCTGCCATGGGCAGGGACACTTTCCATTACCCCGTCTTGCTCCAAGCACCATCCAACCTTTGGATACTTCCAGAAATGGTAGCCAGAGAAGCAGCCACAGCTTCTCTGGGCAACCAGTACCAAGGCCTCCCCACCCTCACAGCTGAGAATTCCTTCCCATTATGCCATCTAACCCTGCCCTCTGCCAGTGGGAAGCCATTCCCCCTTGTCCTATCAGCCCAATCTGACAGCACCCCGGGGTGCTTTACACCACCCAGGGGAGTTGTGGGGTCCCTCCCCACATCCCATGTGCCACAGATCCCCCTGGGAATGGCAGTGGTGGGGTTCACACCCTGTGCCGGGCGGGATGAAATGCTGATTTCCGGGATGCTCCGCAGGCTCGGACGCCATTATCCGGCAGCACAAGGCCGCCTGCCTGCGGATCACGGCGCTCCTGGTGTGCAAGGACCTGCTGTGGATCGGGACGAGTGCCGGCGTGGTGCTCACCCTCTCCGTGTCCCCCAAGGCCACCCCCACGCTCGTGGGGCTCTCCCAGGGTCACACGGGCCACGTCCGCTTCCTCACGGCCATCGAGCTGCCCGACGGCTTCGACGTCCTCTTCCCACTGCCCCGGGACATGGGTAGGTGGCCTGGTGACACATTTCCCAGGGCTGTTCCACTGGTGGATAACCAAGAGGAGCCTTGCAATGTTTTTATCAGAGTCCCCGTTCCATCATTGCCTCGTTAAAAATCCAGGGGGAAAAACTGGGAGTGGGAATTGGATGCTAAACTTCCCCCCGCCAGCGCAAGTGACCTCGAATTTCCTGGGAGACCTAAATTCCCTTGGGGAAAAGCCATGGGAAAGCTGTGTCACCCATCCTAGCTCTGAAGCTGGGATGGGATGGGGAGAAGGAGAGTGATTTTGAAGGGAGAGGCAAACATGGGCTGGGGGAGCTAATTTGGGGTGAGAGGGGCTATTGCAGATGTGAGGAGGTTTTGGGGGCCAAGATGTGGTGCCTGGGAAAGTGCTGGTGGGAGGACGCTGCTGGCATGCTGGAGGGAGGAAGTTGGAATCATGGAGTAGTAGAATGGTTTGGGTTGGAAGGGGACCTTGAAGGTCATCTAGTTGTTGGAGGGATGATGCTGGGATGATGACTCTGGGAGGATGTTGGTGGGGTGATGTTGGGATGATAACTCTGGGATGATGTTGCTTTGATGATGACTCTGGGATGATGTTGGTGGGATGATGCTGGGATGATGCTGGTGGAATGACAGTGGAATGACACTGGTGAGATGCTACTGGGATGCTGTTGCTGGGATGAGGTTGGAATGCTGCTGCTGGGGTGATGTTAGGATGTTGTTGCTGGGATGCTGCTATGATGATGTTGGGATGCTGCTGGGATGCAGCTGCCAGGATGCTGCTGGGATGATGTTGGGATGCTGCTGGGATGCAGCTGCCAGGATGCTGCTGGGACGATATTGGGATGCTGCTGGGATGCAGCTGCTGAGCTGCTGCTGCCATCATGCTGCTGGGGACTGGGGGAGCTGCGTGGGGACACCTTACAGGACCCGGGGGTTCTGCACTTGGCAGGGGCCGAGAAGCCGAGCGAGGCAGAGAAACGAGACCCGGCCCGGCCCCGCGGCCCCGCCCTGGGCCTGGCCAAGCCCAAGATGTTGGTGATCAGCGGCGGGGACGGCTACGAGGATTTCCGCCTGACCAGCAGCAGTGAGACCGTGGGGCGGGACGACAGCACCAACCACCTCCTCCTGTGGAGAGCGTGAACGGCCACGGCCCCCCCGCGCCGCCCCGCCCAGGAAGGGGAGCGCTGCCCCCCCTGCGTGCAGAGAGGGGGGTCCTGGCCCCTGTCCCCAGCGTCCCCCCGCCCCAGCACCTCTCATCTCCAACCCGGCTGCTCTCTGTGTGCTCGGGGTTGGGGGGGACGAGCCCCGCTCCCCCCGCCGTCCCCCCGGCCACTGCACTGGACTCGGGGTGGGGGGGGACACTCACCGCTTGGGGGGCATCCAGGACATTCGGGGGGGACGGTGCGTGTCCTTGGGATCACGGAGCGTCCCCGGGGCCCGGCTGGAGGATGTGCCCGGAACATGCCTTGCTCTCCGGTTTTGTGTGTGCCTGCTTCACGGGGAGGGGGGGGCCTGGCACTGTCACCCCCCTCCCCCGGCCCCCGGGACCCCCGGCCACGCCACGGGACCACCCCAGGGACAATCTGGGAGCCGTGTCCCCCCCGGCCCGGGCCTCTCGCTCCCCCGCCTGCTCCATCGCCAGCACCCAGATAGCTCTGTTTGTTTGTTTGTTTGTTTTAAATATATATATATTATATATATAGAAACATCCTTATTTATTTGGGGCGGTCTGGGGGAGGGCTGGTGCATCCTGACATCGCTGTGGGTCCCTCTGCTCCGGAGCTGAGGGATTCAAACTTCCTGGAGAGCTGGACCCCACTGGTGGAGCTGGATCTTGGGTGTTGGTGGAGGGGGGGAGCTGATGGAGGGGAAGGGAAAAGGAAATTGAGGGTTCCTCCCCCCCTGTTCTCTGTGATTCCCAATGGGATTTCGCAGCCTGGGCAGTGGAATGAAGGCACTGCTGCATCTCCTGGATGAGGACAAGCATCTTCACATTCCCCACCAAGGGTGGCCCTAAACTGGGTGTGGGGACCCTAAAAATGAGACTTTCTGGACCAACCCTCCCCCATTTGCCCTTTTTTCCTTCCCGTTTTCCTGCTTTCACCTCAGGATCCACGTGAGACCGGTGCTCCCAGACTGGGACAACCTGTTGTCCCCATGGGAGAGGTGACAATGGCGGTGGCAGGGATGAAGTGGGTGGGTGAGTGACCGGAATGCTGCCGTCCCACATGGAGCCATCAGGAGGGTGGGGGTGTGGGTGTGCTATAAATTGGGATGATAAGGATATTTTGGGATGGTTGGGGCGGGATTTCAGTCACGTGGAGGCTCTTTGTCATTAAAGGTCACCCGTGTCAGAGTTAACCCGGCGTGGTCTCGTCTTTCCCTCGGGGTGGGGTGACAGGAACAGGGTGAGGAGCTCCCCCCGCCTGCTGGCGTCACTGGGAATGCCATCCACTGGTACCACGTGGGATGAAGAAACCCTTCCCACTGGTGGGGTGCAGCTGTTCCGTCCTGGATAACCCCAAGGGGGATGTCGGGGGGGGGGGGGGGGGGGATCCCTCCCTTGTGCCACAGAGCACTGGGATGTGTCCCATTCCCTGGCTGGACAAACAGGGGACAGCAGGTCCTGGGGAGCACTGGGAGATGGAGGGATCACCAGGCCCAACTGCGACTGGGGTGTCCCCAGCGTGGAAAAACTGTTCCTCAGGGAAGAAGGCGAGGCCAAGATTCCACGTGCTGTAGGAGAGCTAGGTGCAGCACCCACGGATTGATTTTTCTCCCCAGTTTCCCTGCTTTTTCCCCCCTCCCGATTTCCCTGCTTTTTCCTCTCTCCCGATTTCCTTGCTTTTTCCCCCCTCCTGATTTCCCTACTTCCCCCCCCCAATTTCCCTGCTTTTTCCCC